CAGTAACCTTTTAAAAATTAAAAAAAATTAACAATTTATTAATAAATTGTAAAAATGTGAACATATATGTTTTTAATTTAAACCAATCAGAATGCGCTATTACATTCACATGATACATATTTCGAGCCGTTACCAAAACTCGGGTCATGTGATTTATACAATAGCTTATTATACGGCTTTTTTTGTTGTTGAGCCAGCAAGTAATATAACAATTAGATGCTACGGCTGTGATGCAAACCCGGGCTTTTGGTGGCCGTTCTGTAGATCTCGTAATAGAATGAGGAAAACCCTATAAAATTTACAGGTTGTTTCTTTGCGACACTCGGGGTGCTCAATGTGATTGGCTAGTTATAGAGATCGTGCACAAGTACTACGATTAATTGTCAAAGATTCATTCATATTGCGAAATGCGGATATTAAATTTTAGCCAATCAGCACAACACTATGATAAAAAAAAAGATGGTCTCAGACCATTTTTTTTTCATCACGATAATGAACTCACTTGATCGAATAATTTATTTTCCACTAATCAATTTAGATGATTGAGAGCACCTTTAATATACATAGATCGGTCATTGTAACACTTTTAAATACTAAGCACCAGAAAGATTAATGAATTTAATATTAATTTATGCCCTTATGTGTTAGATAAGATCGATTTAGTTGCAGTTCAAAAACCAACTTATTATATTTGAATTATTTTGAGATTTAAAAAACTATGTATGTTCATAATACAAACGAAATGTAAATTCAATTTTTAAATATTTAAATTCGATATCCGTTAAAATTGTAATAAAACATAAGATTTCATTATTAATTAATAATTTATTTAGCTTACAATAAATAATAAATAAAATTAAATATTTACTATTCAATGCATTCTATAGTCCTATCTAATTGTCAAACCGATTTCCTAAAAAAAACATGATTAATTAAATTACAATATGCGTGCAAAAAATTTATTGATTTTTAAATTCATACCTTTTTAGCATCATAATGCCTCGCCCAAATGCCAAATCTCGTGTTGCATCTAGCAAGACCCGTAATAAAGCTGGTGTCTTTGTAGCTAATTCTAAAGATATAAATGATGTAGAAAAAAACATGGATATTCTGGAAGACTGGAAGTTATTCGAAATAATACATGACAGCTTTCAAAATTATGCATTAAAAACTATAGAATGGCATAAAAAAGCTGATAAAAAATTGAAACCCACTTTTTATACTGGTACAATTGAAAGCTATTTTGTTACTTCGGCATTGATTTTTGATGTGAAACCGCTGAGGTACCTCAGCGGTTTCATATCAAAAATCAATGTCGAAGTACCAAAATAGTTTCTACAAAATGTATATCTTAATCTTAAATCTTTATACTAATAATAAAATTTTAGGAAACTCAAGAACAAACCTTTGGAAAAAAAGGAAGGCACAGGAACAACTTCAACACGAAGCTAAACAGATGCGAACTCTTAATGAAATGTGGAGCATAAAGGCACGAGATAAAGGAAAAGCACCAGCCCTATCATACCGTGAAGATATTTTAGCCCAATCTAAACGACAAATGCAACGAATAGAGGAGCGTTATAACGAATTAAAAAATCAACTTCGAAGTCTTCAAAATGCTAAAAAAAATTTAGCTAAATCACAACCTTATGAAGTACAAAGGTTGACATCTATTTTCCATTATTATAGGTTATTACTAGAGGTGAAAAAAAAATAAATGCATCGGAAAAAATTGCGGATACTTTATGGAAGGATATTTGGAATACAGAATATATATCTCGTTGCATTAGAGGATAGGCGAAAGACTTTCTTGAACAAGGCGTCTTACCTAAACATCAACAGGGAAAACACGCAAAAAGAGAATCGTTGCTTGATGTTGAGGATCTCAAACTGGCGGCTTGTACCTGATTATGTTCTATTCCACCAAAAGATCATTCTCCTTTAGCACTAAAGAAAGAATTGGAAACAAATATCTTTCCTAAATTGCTTGGAGTACTGATCACTATTTCGGAAACCACCACACGAAAATTCATGCACTTATGGAGTTTTCACAAAAAAACCATAGGGCAACAGGTATATAAGGCCATGCGAAATTAATTAATGGTTTTTCATAACCCGGCCAGGCCAAAATTTGGAAACTTCTTAAACAAATTTTTATATATAAAAAAAAAAAAAATCCAGCCAACCGGGTCTATTTAAAAGTTTCATGTTATGAAAGCCAAATAATTAAATTTGTATGGCCTAATATTATGATTATTATTATTGTTTTTTTTTTTTGTTTTTTTTTTTTTAAATTGCTTGATACTTTTTAGGTCTATTTCGATGGACATAAACGGGAAGACATGCGAGAATATCGTAAAGGATGGGCGATGAGAATGATGAATTATCAAAAAAAAATGGAACAAT